TGTGGATCACTTGACATGTGCCGTTGTCGTACAGTTGTTGAATAAGGTTGATGAATATTTGGGGTACGCCGTAGTACTCGAGTAGTTTCCAAATTACTTCGCGGTCAATGCTGTTGAAGGCCTTCTCAAAGTCTATAAAGTTGAGGTAGAGGTTTGATCTCCATTCCATGCTTTGTTCGATGATGATGCGTAGAGTTGCCTCCAAAGCCTCAGGATGGTCGTGGTTGGGTGCCTTGCGCTGCGGGTTGGCCACCCCTCCGCACACCTCTTGAAATGCTCCCATATGACCGGGCGTCTTACATAGCCTCTCCTGAGGAAGTCCTACTCACTGCCTTCACGTGGAGGAGGTGTTTTTCACCAAAGTGAGAGGGCGAAAGCGGATGCCCGGCGTTCTTCACCGGGTTGACTGTCCATTGGATGACAGTCTAGGGGAGATGGCTAAACCCTGATTCCAAACCTCCAACGACTGGCGTATGAAGCTCACTGGAGCTCACCGGCAGACGTATGGACAAAGGGCTTGTTGGATGTCCTGGATGTCTGGCCCCATTCAAAAAGGCGCATGAACCGAACTCCGGTCACCGGCTGCCAATGGATAGTGGACTCCCTACTTCACTCCTACTGCCTTGTAGGTAACACTTGGTTGTGTAAAGGCTAGAGCTGCACTCTCAAACAAAGGCCGAGCGATTCTAGGGACATCACTTGTACCAAATTCCCATGAAACTTCATGAACTCTCTTACAAACGACTCTCACCAAAATACGGCGTTCCCGGTAAGCGACGCGCCCTGTGCTCACCCGGTGGCCAGTGTGAAACGTAAGCCAGCTGGGAAATTAACACTTAGAAACCAACTATTTGTTGGCTGCTGGAATGTTAGGACGCTGCTGGATCCTGGTAGCCAGTCTATCACCATGCGTTCTTTATGCGACTACAAGGTGGACATGGCGTGTCTATCTAAAGTGAGGTTACCCGTTCATGGCTCTCGCCGAATAGCCGTACCTGGAATAGATTCTTCATTCTGGTTGCTTCATAGTGGACCCCAGAATAATTCGGGACAACATGGGGTAGCATTTGCTCTCAGTAACAAAACCAATAATGCCTTAATATCATTCGAACCGGTCAACTCCAGAGCTGCAATCGCTAGGTTCAAGGGTTCGCCGCTTGACATTCCTGTTCTCGCTGTCTATGCCCCAACCCTCAACTCTGATGAAAGTATCAAAGACAAATTTTATGACAATCTTCAAGAGGTAATCAACAAAATCTCAAAGCCTGACGTTCTCATAGTAGCCGGAGATTGGAACGCCCGCACTGCCCCTTCAGACGACGCGAAAAAACATGTACTAGGCAAACATGGTCTCGATCAGCACTGCCGTAATGGTGATAGACGTTTAGCTTTTTCTGACTACAGTCGATTATATATCACCAACACTCGATTTCAACACCCTAGAAAACATCTTCTCACCTGGCATTCGAACGGCGGTCGCACTGCACATCAGATTGACTACATCCTAGTGCGCTCACGCTGGATCTCCTCGGTGGAGGACGGTCGATCCTATCGTGGCGCAGAGGCTGGAAATAAAGGAGGATCAGACCATACTCTAGTTCGAGTGAAATTCAAACTTCGTTTAATAACACGCCAGAAGGCGCGACCTCCGAAGCGTATCAATGTTGCCCCGCTTCAATGTTCGACAAAGCGACAAGCCTTGTCCAAACAAATCCAGGCCGAACTAAGCGCCGCAGATGAGCCAACATCCACATCTTCTAATACACCTGAGACACGATGGAATCATTTCAAAGAAGTAGTCTCTAAAGCTTCAATGTCGCATTTGGGTACCACATCCAACAAGCAGAAAGAATGGATTTCAGAGCACACTATGCATCTATCCTCGCAAGCCAGAGACGCTCGCCTAGCAAAGTCTCCAGTTTATCGCTCCCTCAGGCGTAAAGCTACACAGTCTGCTAGGAATGACAGAAATCGCTATTGGTCTAATGTGGCGACTAACATGGAAGCAGCATCAAATTTAGGCGATTTCGGTAAACTTTATCGCCTCATACGCCTATCATCTGGCAAACGCCTTAACAGCCATGCTGTGTTACGCACAGCATCAGGAGAAATTATTTCGGACACCGATGGTAAGATGGAACGATGGGCCGAACATTTCAAGCAGCTACTCAATCGCAACGCTGGTCAACCGTCTCATCGACTGGTACGACACTTACCAACACCCTACGTAGTTGACTGCGATCCACCCACTCCAGCCGAAATAGCTAAAACAATTAACAGACTCAGAAACAAAAAAGCTCCGGGCGAAGATGGTCTACCTCCAGAAATATACAAGGCCTGCACTCCAGCACTAATTGATTCGCTGCACTCGCTGTTCTGCTCAATTTGGGACTCCGAAACCATTCCTTCCGATTGGAACACCTCAGTTCTGCTACCGTTCCACAAAAAGGGAGACAGGTCACTATGCGAGAACTACCGAGGCATAAGTCTGATTGATATCGCTGCTAAGGTTTTTGTTTCCATTCTCCTGAACCGCTTCGCTGCCGAACGCCACGTGCGAACAAGGACAAATCAAGTCGGATTTCGACCTGGAAGAGGCTGTGTTGATCAATTATTCACACTGCGAAGAATTTTGGACAAATTCCAACAGCTGACGGTTGCTTGCTTCATCGACTTCCGAGCGGCATTCGACTCAGTTGATCGAGGAGCACTCTGGTATCTAATGGAGCTTGACGGAGTTCCGACCAAGCTAATCAACCTGCTGAGGTCATACTACTCCCACACCAAAGCTCGAGTCCGAGTGAACGGTGAAGAGTCTCGCACTTTTGAGGTAACCAGCGGTGTCCGGCAAGGTTGTCCAGCATCCCCCATCCTGTTCAACTTCACAATTGATTGGATTTTGCGGCACGCCCTAACCGAGCACCATGGCGTCCAACTTTCACCCGATATTCACATAACCGACCTCGAATTCGCCGACGACGTCGTGTTATTAGCTGAAAACTTCACCGATATGCAACAGGCGCTCGATCAGATAAACCACCTCGCGTCTACTATCGGTTTGGAAATTAACACTTCCAAAACCAAAATGTTTTCGAATACATCCACCAGCAATGATGATATCTTATACCTGAATGGAGCACCTATTGAAATTGTGCCATCCTTCAGATATCTGGGATCCATAATGCTTCCCAACGGTCAAGCGAAAAACGAAGTGAATGCGAGAATCTCCAACGCCCGGAATGCGTTTCTACAGCTGAGGAGCGTTCTATGGAGCAAGAGGGAAATCAGTCTCAGGTCTAAAATTCGGGCCTATCAAGCCTCCATACGATCCGTTCTCCTGTATGGCTGTGAAACCTGGCCTCTTCGCGCGGAAGATGTACGCAGACTTGAGATAGTAGACCATTGGTGCCTCAGGTACATTCTGCATGTTCGTTGGCAGGACAAACTCTCCAACGAAGAAGTGCGTCGTCGTTGCTACAACATCAACCAAATTCCAGTACTGGTCCAACAACGTCGCCTTCGGTGGTTTGGCAATGTTCTGCGCCAACCAGATGACGATCTGGTCAAATCAGTTCTAAATCCGTCGCCATTACCATCTTGGCGATGTCGCAGGGGTGGACAGCTGACAACATGGCTTGGTACAGTCAAGGCTGATATGGAGTGCCTGGGGCTACAAACCGTCTACAGACTCCGTCTGTGAAACAAGAATTGGATAACCCTGTCGCAAAACCTCGCATCAGATCGCCGCGCCTGGGCAGCAATGATTCGGGTGTTCATGAAGCCGGTTCATCCTCCTGTAGGAGATAGCCGAAGTAAAGTAAAGTAAAATAAGTAGAGTTGCAATTTGCTCAGAACATGATTTGCCTTCCCCGAATCCAGCTTGTTCTGGTCGGAGTTCTGTATCCAGTGCGTCCTTGATTCTCTCCAGGATGATGCGACTCAGCATTTTACTTGGCGTCGACAAGAGCATGATTCCTCGCCAGTTCTTGCAGAGTCCTAAGTCGCCCTTCTTTGATAGTTTCACGGGTTAACCTTTCCTCCAGTCAGTAGGCACCTTTCCCTCCTTCCAGACCTTTTGCAATAATAAAGTCAGCATATCTGCTGTCGTCTCCGGGTCCGCTTTTCGTGCTCCAGGGGGTATTCCATTTGGTTCAGCTGCTTTTCCAGCATTCAGAAGCTTGATTGTATTCAAGACTTCAGCATTCGTTGGAGGACTGGTGTCAACTTGCAGTTGTGTACGTGCTGTTGTTGGTATTTCTGAACAGGTTGCGGGTGGTGGTCGGTTCAAGAGTCCTTTGAAGTGTTCCGCCCATTGTTTAATCTGTCTTTCTTCCTTGCTAATTGGGTTCCCTTGGCTGTCTCTTATAGGTTTCACTTCTGTTGATCTCTTCCCGGGACGAACCAGGCTTTTAACCTCGCCTAGATTACTAGCTCACTAGTTTTCTAGCCGACCCCAAACCCGGATAAAGAGGGAGGGTTAGGGCGTGGTGCTAGCAACTCCACCTCCAAAACTTGACCATATCGCTTAAGAAACTTCAACGCACAAATATATTAAAAATTTACATTTTACTTGAACATGTATATTCATATGACATAAGTAATTGAGTTATCGTCATCAAAACAAAGCATGATAAAATGTGACTGAACACGTTTTGTATCAGGCGTGCAGTCTGGAAACGACAAATTTACTCTTTTCTTTTCAGTTTTGTTTTTGTGCTTTCTTAAACTTGAATTTTGTATGACCACTTTTTATTGACTAAATTGAAGTTTGAGAGGTAGAAGCATGTACTACAGATACCAAACATGTACACTGCATGAGATGGATACAAACGTGTCCACTTATAAATGACGTATTGAACAACAAATTGGAGGGATGCAATCCATGTGCATATATATATGTGCAGATGTATTCTCATTCACTCACACAACTTTAGATTGTGCAAATCCTTTTTCTGATGTTTTGGAAACTCTACATAATTTCGATTTCTCTCTATGCGTTTATGTCAGTTTGTGCTGATGACAACGCTGACGATGAATACTCTGGCGAGGTTATTACCACCTTATCGAAATTCACTGGTAATGTATCAGAAGAACGAAAGAAGCAAATCGAAGATAGAGTCAGGAAATTAGTAGAGGAGGAATTCGCAAACGAAGAACAAGAAATAAAAGAAATGTTAGAAGAAGCAAAATTGGAATTGCGAAAACAGCAGGCGAAATCAAGGAATTCAGCCAGTTATTACGGTAGTGATTTAGTTTTACAGGGGATTTCTGTTGTCATTGTGACACTAACATGCGTTTATGGTATGTTTCAATAAGTGATTAATTTATCTGAAATGTCTTTGTTTATCTATTTGTGTATAAAAATGTTTATTTGAGTCTTTGTCTTCTGTGTCTACTGACCTATGCGACTCAAATGTGTAGATATACTCGAAGGGAACTCACGGTTATTCGAAGGTCGAGTAGCGTGCCAGTAAACTGGCTCGTTTCCATCGTACTCAACACACACCTGAACTTATGCGAGAAATCCGCTAAATCCACGATGTCTGGCTCTCTCTCTCTCACCAACCTCTCCAATCACAACTCTGCCACTCAGCTTGCATATCTCATCAGATAGAACTAGAGGTCATTATGAAAGATTATTCGCTTGTTCGCACGACTAATTAGGAAACCTCTAGGACACCGCATGTGGCCGCTCACCAGAGTTCACTATGATAGAGACAGTGTTAGGCGTAATTAGTACACATAAATGGTTTCTCTGATAACATTATTGGAATCGTCTTATGATTTAAGCTATTTATATTAATATTGTTACACTCCTTTCACACTTTTTGTACAATTTCGACTTCGCTATTACTGCTGAGGCCGAAGATATTGGCGTTATCAGTTTCCGTTATGTATACACTGTAATTTTTTTTGTTTTTGTTGATGTTGAGTGAATTAAGTAGAATAGCGTACCAAATGCAGAGAATTCCAAGTTGTGTCATAAGTGCTGTCTGAGAATTAAGCAAGCTTTTATGTTTATTATTATTATTGTCATTATAGTCCCTATCATTGTCATTATTATTAGTAATTTTATTTTAACGGCTTCCTACATCAGGTTTTATTATTTTATTTCACTTTCATTATGATTAAATTTCAAAGCTTCTCTTGCATGCCTCACTGGCTATCTTAGATTCCTCATGGTACTATTTAGCTTTCCTGCCCTATTAATTCAGCATTTCACCAATCCTATTCAAACTGACACGTGGTGGGATTATTCGAAATCTAAATATCAGTTTGAATAAGTGTGTTTTCTGTGAACACACTAGTGTCTTTCACTTCCCAACTTCTTTTCCTATTCCATGCTACAATCTGACAATGGGGGCTCACATTCTTGAATTTTGAATTCATTAGTGAATTGAATTGTCTTGACCGTCGATTTGATGTGTTCGAAAAATCTATTCATGTCCTGTGTTTTGAGCATGGCGAATGTGTCACCTACATACCTCCATCACAGTCTGTAGGTGAGTGGGGCTGAGCGTTTTGATTGCTGAATTTTCTCACGTGTTCATGAATATTTCTGGCACTTGTTGTGTATATTGATAACAACATGGCGACTTCTTCAGTTTGTTTATATAATGTCCCATGGAATTTAAATAGTTTGGATGTCTGGCATAACAGCAGTCCTGCCATTATATCTTCTAGTTGAACTGTTTGTTCAATTTCAACTTCTTGATCAGAAATGAGTTCGTTGCTTACCGACTCTAAATAGAGATATTTATCGGTATTCATGTCGAAAGTAACCATTTCTTCACTGTTTGATTGTCTGATCAACAAACTAATATGGAATTATATAATACCACAGGGCCGACGTTTTAAACGAATATAAATCCAACCAACATTGCCAACTTAATCAAAAATATTCGAAAAATCGAGAGATGGCGTTGGTGCACACCATGAAGTGAGTTAGGAACTGGTGAAATTTGCATACTAATAAGGACTTTCTCGCACTTGTGACCTTACACAAGTGAACTTGAATATTCTTTCCAAATAAGGTGACAAAATTTTGTACAACCGGTTTGCTTTATTAGTTTGAACCAAGAAAACACTGAGCATATTTGCAGGTAAATAAGAGGTTGTTAATGAAAGTGTAGAACTTGTACACTGTGGTGGCATATAATTGCATATTCCATCTCATATGGAATTCGAGGTTGTTTTATCGCTTAGATTGACGGGGTGACTGTGGTTTCACCTATGCGTCCCACTCAGGAGCCAGTATATGTTCATGACATATGTTGAACAGACTCGAATGAAACCGTAAATAGAGCAGCACTACTCATTATTACAGCCTGTATGCTTACAACATGTTTGTGGTTTTCAGGAATATGGACCACACGTCCCTGATGTTTGTATAACTCAATGTGTCTAATCTCCATATTGCACTTACAATGGATAGTGAATGTGATAATTAACTCGACTTCTTCGATCTCATTAGAAGAAGGGAAAAGTGAAGGTTAATTGAATATTTCTATATATAGGAATGAAACGTGTACCATTCGTTACTTAAATTATCACAGGTTCTCCCTAACTGGGTACGAACATAGCCTGTTCTAAACACTCTTCAGCAGAGCTAGGGCTTTATTGAATGGGGATTCTCAGTTATCGGAAAGAACTTTTATTGAGAATGGATACACTCGAAAGTTCCTATTAAAATATGGAGGTAAGGAAACTCACCTGGAGTGAAACTCTGAAATAGTTGAGTAGGAACCATGTTTTTATCTTTCTAGCTTTCAAAGGGAGGAAGTATCCTGAAGGAGGGAAAACAGAAGTTAAGTTGGGGTTGTAGAGATTTCCTACCACCAGACTCATTCCACTTCACAAAATAGCATGCTCGTTAACTCGGTAAAATTTTAGATGAGTATCCTGTTGCACATGTCAACTTCAACTTCAATTACTATTTCATATGCATACTGACGGTAGCAAGTAAAGAGGAAGAAGTAAGCAGAACGTTACTAGATTTTCTGAGCTCATCTCCTAAGGTTTTCTTTTTTTTTAATTACAGCTTGATTCCGCACCCTATTTTCGGTACAGGTATGGAATTTACAGCATGTGATACCGGTAGCCCAAATTTTGCAGGCCAGTCATAAATATCAGGTGTTTGTCGGCAGGGGATCGCACCCCGGACCAGGTACCTGGTCGGCGAGAATCCTATTTACTTTGCCACTATGGAAGTAGAGAAGTGTTCACAAGTTTAGCTGCGAGACAACACATGATTAACACAAGGAATACAATAGTAATTAGGCAGTCTTTCAAAATAGTCTATACACAAAGAAACTGTGGTTACTTAACTTCTCAGAAGTCATCGCTATCATCAAAAGTCTTTGATTTCACTTCCGTCTGTACCCATGGAGTTAATCTAACTGTTCTCTCGTTACCCTGTCAACTGTTATTGTTTTGCTTGTGTGTTTTTGTGTTTTGTTGTGTAAGATTCCACTTAATTTTGATTTTGATTTCACTTACTTACTGAGTTCAACTCATCAATATTAACTTTCTAAATCTATTAAATTAATTTGTCTATGTCATAATTTTACTTCATTATTCACTCCCATACTATTTAACTCTTCATCTTAATATGCATAAATTGACTCCGTTGTTCGATCTTGTATTTTGCCTCTAGTCCATTCTTGCATCAAAGAGAGATATGACGTCTAACCCCTTATCTAATTACTGTATAAATAGTTACTCTCTCTTAACACTAAATAACTGTCTAGTTACATTATTTTTTGGAATTATGTTGCTTATTACTTCTATCTATAAATATAAGGCACTGTGAATAAAGTGTGTTCAGAACTTAAGAAGTCCACAATTCAACACTGTTTAGGATTTACGCAATCGACGAGAATCCAAGAGATAAAATGAGCTTGCATACTGCTGGCTGAAGAAATGCTCATTCTTTCTCTGTTCAAACTAGAATAACTGAAACCTTAATGAAAACTTATTTACTGACGAGGTTTGAATGACGGATTAAGAAAATTATACTAAATGATAATGATGACAATAGTAGGTGAACAACTAATTGTTTTATTTACATTTCACGGCATTTTTAGTCTAACATAGATGCGAGGAGGAATGCAGCTTCACACGTCTTAAACTTTGAATTTTCAGCGTAACGATTGTGTTGTTTCCAAATCGAGTGTTGTGTCAGCCTCATACGCCATATCACCCATTTCCAGGGACTACTAGGCGAAAGTAAAGAATAGAACCAACCACTCGGATTCTTCTAGCTGAAAGGGGACATTTATTGTATAAAAAGTCTTCTGATAAGATACATATTTATGTACATATATATGTAATAAAAAAATTACACAGGGTATGTACCTCTCACCTGCTGCATAAAGAGGTCCCAGTTTCCCATAGGAGTTTGGCTTTAGGCAGATCGGACCAAATATCGATAAAAAATTCATCTAAATGGTTGTATATTATATCATATGGTAAACCATTTACCATTCTCATGCGTATTTTGTAGATAGACCCAGAATCCTTCAATAGGATTTGTCTGACTTCCAATTATAGGAGTGACTCAATCAGAAGAATGATTAACTTTATGGTGGATATAGCCTAATGATGCTTGTTGCGAATATCCTCTCGATTGTCGTCTGTGCGAATGATAGTTAGTGCCTGGGAGGACTAGTCGTTGTATAATTGGTTTTTAAAAACACCGGAAATTTGTTTTTGGGGGTACGTGTTCTACCAACCCTTACCGAAGATAAGTATTCTACTGTCCCACCACCTAAACCTGATTCGCTCTTCTCCCAAAGTGGCGATTCATTTTTCTTCAAATAAATACTGCTTTGTCTGTATAAACAATGACACCAATTCCTCCAATTACACAATTAATTCTAACAGTGTTTAATGAGGCATTATCCCGACAATGTTGATTCCACTGCACTGTTAACAATTTAGTATTCTCCGTTCCCGCAGCTGTAGCAGATACCTCTGATTGTCTCAGAAGCCAACTGTAACATAACGTACACACAATAATTTAAGTTGAGACAGAATTTATATTTCGAGAAGAAACAGTCACCAAAATGTAGAAGTTACCAATGCTAACAGACTCTGTCATATATCACAGGGATTGTATCTGTATAGATAACCATCAATAGTCCTGTAGTACTTCTGAAGAGTTCATATCTCTCCACCACACAGACATGTCTCAGTCCTCTTTATCTCAACCGATTTTCCATACAGAAGTCAAAAACCATATTTGGGTGAAACTTGTAACGAAGATAATTTAAACAGTATCCATTCACAATGCTGAGCAGCGATATGATTGATT